CCTATACCTCCTGTACTTCTCATCTCAAAACTCCCTATACCTCCTGTACTTCTCAGCCCCAAACTCCCTATACCTCCTGTACTTCTCATCTCAAACTTCTCATACTTCTTACATTTCTTATCTCAAACTTCTCATATTAAACTTATTCTTAACAAACTTCTCACATTCTCTTTCATTCTTCAGAATTCCAACAGTCTATGCCACAATTTCACTTATGGTATTTACTTGCTGAACACTTCACTTACTCTCACTTTCTTTAAGGACCTTCTTTTACACTCAAGTCTTAGCTTTCTTACAAGTCTTCACTTCCCCTGTTTCTTCACCAGCCCCCTTAGTAATATTCTTTCTGTCTCAATCCTTCCCTTTCAAACAGAACTCTTAACTGCCAGTGAGGGATTAGGGACATTGATCCTTCTCCAAAACTATTTCCTGCTGACAATGGTTGACTTACAGGGAAGGCAGTTAAAGGTTCCTTTCCTATCATCTACCAAAGGCTACTCCTGAGTATTTCCTTTTTCCGTCCGCATCCAGTATCCTGTCCTCATTGCCATTTGTTGGGCCCCGACCCTGGGCCTGGTTGGAGTTGGGACTCCAGGTCTCTGGCGCACCCGCTAAACTTCTGGATGCAGACTGCTGCGCCAGCGTACTCAGGGTAGTTCTTGTTTGGTCTCGGGTGCCAAAGCACCTTAGAAGTTACAGTCAATATTAGTAGTAGTGAGCATCTCAGCAGCAGTCTTAGTAGGAGCACCAAGCAGGAGTCCTCCAAGCAGGAAGTGGAGCCATAGGAGGAGCCCAGCAGGAGCCTCCACTAGCTTCTCCCAAGGCTGTTTGTACAAGTGATACGCCACAGGGGTGGAGACTGCTATGCAATAATGTCGGTGCTCTCGTGCTCTCTAACAAGAGGCCAATGGTGTTAAATCCCTTCCCCAATCCCTTATTGCCAAGGTGTTTCTTTCCAGATGTCTCCTACAAAGTTGCTGTAAATGATGATGCCTCTGTGGTCTCAGCACTGCACACTAACAATTTCTGTGTGTATTATGGGCAGGACTTGAGCTATTCATTTTATAGTCGTGGCTGACTTACTGTGATCCATTTTCCTTGGTGTTCCTACATCTGTACCTGCCTGGCTCACAAGATGAAGTTGCAGATTTGATCTTTATGTGGACCAGTTGGATTCTTCTGGGTTACCTTGCTAACGGGCTGCATCCCTCACTTGTATGACTTGATAACTTATCAGGAAGGAAACTGGGCTATAGAGTTGTTATGAAATAGGACTGATTTATCTTTGCTACTAAAAGCTTATGTTCTACATATTTAATGGTACTCTGCTTTTGAAATAGAGCCCAAAAGATATTTATGCATTCTCACATTGGCTGTGGTTATATCTTCCTTCTCATTCAGTGTGCATTCACTGAGAAGTCAAACACCTTAATCTTTCTTTTTGTTTCCTTAAACGAATAGAATTTTGGCCACTTAGGGGCTAGGATTATAAACTTTTATTCTTTGCTGTACCTCCAGTGTCTGATACAGAGACTTACATGCATGTGGCACATGATAAATATTTGTCAAATAGATGAGTGGATGAAGTAATGGCTGAAATACTGCTCTGTGAGAAAGGATAATTCAGTTCTGAGAAACCAAACATTGGGCAAACTATATTCTTCCTATAAGATCAGGTCCTGAAACCTGCTAGGAAATCAAGGCCAAAAAATATAAGTGTAGGAATCCTTCTGATAAAAAAGACTTACAGAAACCATGAGAAGGGAGGTCCTTGAGTGTGTGTGCGTATATATATATATATGTGTGTGTGTGTATATATATATATGGGGGAAATCATTCTGCTAAAAAGACTTACAGAAACCATGAGAAGGGAGGTCCTTGAGTGTGTGTGTATATATATATATATATGTGTGTGTGTGTATATATATATGGGGGAAATCATTCTGATAAAAAGACTTACAGAAACCATGAGAAGGGAG